AGGTGTCGGGACAGTTTTGCACATTGAAGCCTCCCCTTGTGTGACACAAGAAGGGAGGGCAGGACAAGGGGTAACGGGTGGGTGAAAATGACCAAGGCTGTTTGGCACATGAGCGAACTGCCAAAGTGAAGCCTGGTAATCTGATAACCAACTGACAAAGCAAAGAAAGGAAGGAAGAAAGAAAGGCAGGCTGGCCATGGGAGACAAGAAGGAATTTTTAAAATATGAAAAAGAAAAAAGATAAATAATAAAAATGTTAGAAGGGACTAGGGGTACAGCTCAGGGGTGGAGTGCCTGCATTCCACCCCCAGCAATGCAAAAGCAGTGACAACACTGATGATGATTCTGCTACCTGACACAGGACTTCTCCCACCCCATTATAACTGAGACTGATCTGTATAGGCTGTTTGGAATTTACTAGCACAGAGTGATTACGACTTAAGACTTCAGAGCTGTACTCAAAATAAAATCTTAACATTATTCCTACATACAAGTATCGAAAATACTTGTTAGCCACCAGAAATAGACAAGGAATCGGTATGCAGAAGTGATTTTGAAAGGGAACTGTCTATGTAATTACCAAAGAAACTGCTAAAACATCGTCCTTCCATACAAAACTTCACTAAGGCTTGATAAAATTATTCAGACAAGCATATTATAATAAATCAATAAACGAGACACATTCATTCAACAGTTACTATAAAATGTCATGGTATAATGAAATATGACGGACATGTAAGTAATGCTTAGTGAGTTAAGACTCTTTCTGTACCTTAACCCTACATTAAGCTTAATCACTTAAACAGAAAAGGTACATCAGCATTAAATCTGATGGGTTACTTATCTCACAAAAGGTCTAAATGCACATGCAATATCTAACGTGAAATATAACTTAAAGGGAAAAAATGGACAAGAATTTCTATGTCTTTTTTTTAAAATCTACAGGAAATTGAACTTAGGGACTTCCACACAGCTACATTCTCCACTCTTTTATTTTTAATATTGTGGGGCTGGGGATTTAGCTCAGCGGCATAAGCGCCTGCCTTACAAGCAGGCAGTCGTGAGTTCGATCTCTGGTACCGATAAAAACGAAAAAGACAAAAAAAAAAAATTTTTAAATATTTTTAATATTGTGATGGTCTCAGCTCCAACCTACAGTCTTCCTGCCTCAGCCTAGCAGACTGCTGTGACTACAAGCATGGACCAATACACACAGCTTGCAAATGCCTAACTTTTGACAATCACCCTCCATGTCACTGACCCTGGACACAATCACATTCAACATCTGATCATGCTACTGATTCAAGAATGCTTGACTCAGAATTGGAGTTGGAAAAACACTTTTATACTCTGGTTTTTGCTTCAAAGCAGAAAGGAAAATTCGCTTCAAGGTTTTTTTGGGTTTTTTTAAATTCATTTCTCTTTCTTCCAGGTAAGGGATCAGTGTTTCAAGAAAGTGGGTAAAAAAAAAAAAAAAAAAAAAAAGAAGAAGAAGAAGAAGAAGAAAGAAAGAAAAAAAAGAAAAGAATGCTTCTGTTAAAGTCACTGGTAGAATCTCTAAGATGATAATATGTAATCTATTAACTGGTGATTTCTGACTGTTTTTTTTTTTGTAGTTCTGTATTACTTGTACCCTTACACCACTTTGTTTTGTTTTGTTTTTTTCTCTTTTTCCTTTAAATAAAATAAAAAAAAAATAAAAAAATAAAGTCACTGGTAGAGATGGAGCACTTTCTGAACCGGCCTCACGTGTACAAGGCCCTGGATGCAATCTCCGCAGCACAAGAAAAAGCAGCACAACTCCAGCGATGATAGTTTCCAGTATACACTCCACCTTCAAGTGTGTTTGGTCAGGTAAAACTAACATGGACACAGCCCAGGCTGCCGAGAACCCTGAGCCTCTGGGTGCCAGCATTGCAGGTATCACTGCTGTGCCCGACCACCCTGGGAACCACTTCTTCCCAGCCAGTGGTTCAGATGCCTTTAAAAACTATTCACTAGGATTTTAATTTCTGTTTATTAGAGAGGATTAGGCTGAATGAAATACACTAGTCCTACAATACCCATTACTGGGATGAAGTAGCTACACTGTATGTGACACAAAGTAGGCAGTAAATTAACATTCTTCCCCTATGAAAATTTTTGCTCAAATTTTGTTGGGAAAAATTTAACTACCAAAAAACACTATCTTTAAAATTCCTATTTTTCTACATCCATAACAGCAGCTTATTTACACAACTGAAATTGATGAGCAGGCATTCTTTGGCTTCCTGGATTCTTAACTGTGCTTCTCAACTCTGCTAATCCTCCTATAGAGTTAAAAGTTTTTGCTACCCAACTCATGAAATAACGTAAACCTAAGACACTTCCAAACTAACCCACAAAATATTATACAGAACCAAGGCTCCATATTTCAACTGCGTCTTACAAAAATTACAAACAGAATTCTTCATGAAATGACAGCACGTTCACACTACATATCCATGACAGATAAACCAGGGATCCAAGCTGGTTGCAGGATACAGCATGTAATTTACTCAGGAGGCTGAGGTAGGAGAATTGTTGTGAGTTTGAGACCAGTCTCTAGGCTACAAAGCGAGTGCACAGGCCAGCCTTAACTGCATAGCGAGACCCTGTCTTAAAAAAGACCAAAAAAGGGGCTGGAGGTTTAGCTCAGCGGCATAAGTGCCTGCCTTGCAAGCAGGTAGTCGTGAGTTCAATCCCTGGTACCGATAAAAAGGAAAAAGACAAAAAAAAAAAAAAAGACCAAAAAAAAAAAAAAAAATTACAATAAGTATGGGCTAAGGCTGTAGCTCAATAACGATTGTCTAGCATGCTCAAGGACCTGGGTTCAACCCCCACTACCACCCCAAAAATAAGTGCATACAGTCACTGGGTGGTGCATAATACATATTTACATGAACATACAGAAGACAGGAGAGTAGGGCATGGTAAAGCTGGCTGGGGAACTGGGTGACAACCTCTTAACACAGGCAAGACCAGTTCCTAAAGCCATGTGGTGGTCCTCAGTAGGCGACCCTTTGGAAAGAGGGCCTAGACCTAGCATCAGCCTGGGGTGTGAGACCTCAGTGCGCCTCTCGGGACCCATGTACAAGCTCTCTCTCACGGACTCCTCCAGATCTGGACCAAAAGGCCACCATGCCGTGAAGAGCTGCCACAGCAGCTCTCCTCACAGCAGCTTCTTCTTCCTCCAAAGTGCGCCTTTTCCTTTCTGCTCTACCCAAGCTCTCTTTGCTGAGCCAGTTTCTTCCTCTCTCTTCACTTTGACTTTTTCAAGTTATTTCAAAAACTTTTTGAACTGTTACTTCACTCGTTTTATTCAGTTGTTTGCTTGAGACAAGCAGAAGCTGAACTCCAACTGCAGAAGGGCAGACCAGCAACCTAAAACCCAGTAACATTTATTTCATAAGCCACTTTTAGAAAGAGCTGCCCAGTAACGTAAGTGTTGAAAGAAAACAAATTTTCTTTTTTGTCTTTTTCCTTTTTATCGGTACCGGGGATTGAACTCACAACTGCCTGCTTGTAAGGCAGGTGCTTATACCACTGAGCTAAATCCCCAGCCCCTAAAACAAATTTTCTAACCAATATGAAAATCCTGTATCTTATAACACAATAAATAAGTTGACCAACTACTTCATGATTACTAACTGCTAAGGGGTTGGGGTGTAGCTCACTAGCAAAAAAACTTGCCCAGTATTCAAAAGGTCCAAGTTTTGATCTCCAACACTACCAAAAAACTTTTTAAAAAAAGGAAGCACCAGGCAAGGTGTAGCATGCCTTTATTCCCAATATTCAGGAGGCTGAGGCAGGAGGCTCACTGAGAATTCAAGGCCAACTTGAACTACACAAGACACTACCTCAAAAAACTAAAAGCATTGGGCTGGGGATTTAGCTTAGTAATGCCTGCATGGCAAACTTGAGGTCATGAGTTTGATCCCTGGTACAAAAAAAAAAAAAAAACTAAAAACATTTAGGGAAGAGCCACCTTGCAGAACAGTTTTAATCCTGAATCGCAGAAGCTGGGAAACTTACTGGAAAGTTAATTAACACAGAGGTCTCAATCTAGGCAACACCAGCAGACTAGGAACAAATAAACAGTTCTGAGTTTTTGCTTTGTTTTCAATACTAGGGTCTAAATACTGGGCCTTCGCACAGATCTGTGTCTCAGCCCTGGTTTTATTTTTATTTTGAAGGTTCCTAAGTCATTAAATTGTCCAGGGTAGGCTCAAATTTGTGGTCCTCCTTCCTCAGTCTCCTACAGGCTATAATTACAGGCATGCATCACCACGCCCAGCTCAAAGGAGCCACAGAACAATTACAGCAGCAAGAAAAAAGGAACAGCAAGGATTTCACAGATGACTACCCCTGGCAGATAAAGATGAAAAACAAACAAAAAGCAGAGTTCTGAGTCAGTCAGGTTATATTCCAATCTGCTATGTGAGTTACTTGCGCCTTGGCCTAGCTTCCTTAGACACACAGAGATTTGCTTTGGTCTGGGTGCTGAAAGGTTAATGAGAAGGCACAGGGGAGCGCAGAGACTTCAATAGGCACCAAGAACCGTAGCTGCCTCAGCTCTGCTTTCACAACAGAAAGGCAGAACCTGTCCACCAGGGGCTGACAAAACAGACAGGAGAAATGAAATGACTTACTCAGTGGCACAGGACTAGTTACCTTTCTGCTGGCACTGGAAGACACACTGGCCATGAACATACAAGACGTGCCGGGAAACTGTGAACACTCTTCTTTAAAGACTTAAGAAGACCTCAATCACACATTCAAAAACATTGAAATTGATTGTTCCCATAAAAATGTAACCAGGCAATCTATTTTTTAAAAACATTTTTAATGTGTGCACCAAATTCTAGTGGAGGCTGAATTTCCAAACGGGGACATTTTCATTAGAGAAAAGAAGTACAAGTCTCTTCTTCAACACAGACTCTAGGGGAGTTTCCGCCATAGTCTGCCATCATCATACTCACCTTCCGAGGGCATGGAAATCTAGCCGTAAAAACTGGTCCTCGTGCGAGACTGCTCTCTTGGCACGCTGGTGCCTTTGGTGTAATGAATCCACATTATAAGATAATCCTTCATAATGTCTAATATATTTGTTTAGAGGATTTCCATACTGACCTATAAAAAACAGACAACAATTTAAATTAATACTTTTTCTTTTTTGGTGTGAGATATTGCCACGTAGCTCAAGCTGGTCTGAAACTGAAGATCCTCCTGTTTCAGTCTCTTGAGTGCTGAGATTACAGGTGTGCAACATACAACTGGTCTTAAGATAGCATTATCCTAAAGACCTCTTTTAGCTCTGGTACAAGTCCATAAATATTCAATATCTATCAATAGGTATTGGACAACCGTCTCATTAGTCTCACACTAATTATTATGAAGTCCTCATAAATATTATTCTCTCTTTGTACTCATTTTGTCTGTAGGTACAAGACTGGGAATCTACCCAGGAGGTCTCCAGGACTTAGCTGACTCTGAGATGGTCTCACTGAGCTATCCATGTGCTTGCTAAGCTGCAATGCTTCTGCCTCAGCCTGCCCAGTGCTGGGACTACTGCTGTGCACCACCGTGCCTGGCTTTTCTCGAGTGTATCACTATTATGGCAATTTCAATCACACACACAAGTTTGGACATTAGCAGCAGGCTTATCTTAGATGCAGAAGTTCACTTTTATTACACTTTGCTGATAAAAACTGTCAGGATAAGATGGTGATTGTCATTTGTTCTTTCTGGATCTACTAAAATAATCTTGAGTGTGGTAGCACATACCTATACTTCTAGCAGCTCTGAGACACTGAGACAGGAGGGTCTCAAGTTGGAGGACACCCTTGGGAACTTATGGAGACCCTGCCTCAAAATAAAAATTTTGAGAGGGGATGGGAATGCTGCTCAGTGTTAAGGCACTGGTTTGCTGTGCTCAAAATCCTGGGTTCAATCCCTAGCACCAAAAAAAAAAGAGGGGGGAGAAAAGAAAGATAACCTTAGTGTTTTCCTTGTTAGCTTTTCAGTATGATGAATTAAACTGATTTTTGAATGTTAAACAAACCTTGCATTTCTGAGATAAAGTCCATTAGATATCATCAGGTTCAATGTACTGCAATTCTGTTCAGCTTTTTTTTTTTGGCCCAGGGCTCAAACTCATGACCTTGCGTTTGCCAAGCAGGCGCTTTACACCATTGAGCTAAAACCTTGGCCTCTGTTCAGCTTTTTGGAGTTGTTTTTGACACATTCTTGCTATGTTGCCCAGATGGGCTTCAAAATTGAAATCCTCCTGCCTCTGTTTCCTAACGAGCCAGGATTACCAATATGCATCATCACACCCAGCTATTTAGAATTCTTGTTGTCCACATCTTTGATAAATACTGACTTGTAGTTTTCTTGTATTATCTCTGTCAAGTTTGAGCACTCAGTTTAAAAAAAAAAAGGGAGGGGATGAGAAGAATTATCACTTTAGTTCTCTGGACAAGTTTATGTGGAACTGATATTTCCTCCTGATCATTTGGTAAAATTACCAGTGACGCCATCTTAGCCTAGAGTTTTCTTTGTGAAAGATTTCTCACTACAATTTCAGCTTCATAAATAGATTAAAAGCTATTCACGGCATACATTTCTTCTTGGGTGAACTTCAATTCGAAGCATTTAGCACACTATAAATGTTCTCCGAGTGCTGTTAGCAGCAACTCACGAATTCTGTAACGTTTCTATTTTCACTCTGCATGGTGTACTTTCGCCGTCCCTTTTGATTTCTTCTTTGATACATGTGCTGTTCAGAAGTCTGTTGTTTAAACTAGGTGTGGCAGAGCACACAGGAAGATCCAGAATTTAAAATCCACCTGAGTAACTTCCTAAGATCCTGTCTCTAAATACTGCAAAGAGCTGGGGATTAGCTCGGTGCAAAGGCCTAGGTTCCCTCCGCAGTAACAACAGTAAGATCAGCGGTCTGTTCCCAAATGCTCGGGATTTTTCAAGTGCATCTGAAAACAGTGCAATTCTCTCACACACACTGAGGTTTCTCTTCCGACGCAGAAGTTCTCTCTGAACAAATACAGGTGTCGCATTTGCTAGAAAGGAACTAAGTATACCCCCCTTTTGTCAGGAGCGGGGTCTCCTGACAAAATGTCCACCTCTGCTCGTACTGGTGGGATGGCTTATAAATGTCAATGAGGTCAAGTTGGTCAACAGTATTTCTCATCTGATGTCGTAGGATGAGTTAAAATACAAGAGCGAGCTGGTAAGCTCAATGCAAAGGCTCCAGGCTCAAATCCAGGACAAGGAGTGGGGAAAAAAACCACAGGCATTAAAACCGGTATCAAATCACCTCTGGGCCACGTATGTAAAATGTATAAAACAGAAGCTTAAGCTTTAGCTTGGGTCTCATTGCCAAGCATCTCATTTTGTGTATATAAATATTCCAAAAGCAGCAAACATTCTGAATCTGTAACTTGTGGCCCCAAGCTATCCTAAGAAGAGACACAGAACCTGACATTGACACACTTCTGGTCCATGGTACATTCTGCTTATCACCCCAACAGTATACGGTGTGTTTTAAACAGACAACTGTCTTTCAAAGGGATCTAAGAAGAACAGAGCCACACACAGGCCTCACTTCCAGGCTCCTCGCCTCTTGGGCAGACACACACTTGCTACCTCCACGGGTGCCATTCCCTTACCATCTGGTTGACTTCCTCCAACATTTATTCCACTGGGGATATTTTTTCCCAGCTTTTTATGTCAGAAAATGTCTTTCTTTTATCATTGCTTTTGAAAGTATTTTTACTGGGATCAAATTCTAGGTTGACAGGGCTAGCTTTTTGTCATTAGGCTCTCAAAGAGTTGCTCCAGCACGATTTCATACGCACTCTCCCAACAATAAACCGACTGTCATTTCTGCTCCTCAGAATACAACCTCTCCTCCTCCTGGATGGCTTTTAAAACCTTCCTCTTGATTACTGACTGGTGTGATCACATTTTTGCACTGTGGTTTCTGTGAACAACTTGAATCTGTGTGCTTATAGGGCTTTTTCTGTTATCGTTTCTTCAAATTCCCAAAAATTTTTCTTGGCTTCCTTACTCTCTCCTCTTCAAGGATTCCAATTATAAATATATTAATCCACTCAAAGTAACACACTAATAGTCTTTTCATCTTTCTTAAGTATCTTTTTTCTCTCATGTTGAGTAATTTCTATTACTATGTCTTCTAGCTTCTGTCTTCTATTCTGCAAGGTACAATCTGTCTTTAATTCTATCTGGTACATTTCCATCAAAAACATCATGACAGAGTTTGTGGTTTCTTTCTTTCTTTGGTACCAGAGATCAAACTCATGACCTAGCACTTGTCAGGCAGGTGCTTATGTCTCTGAGCCAAATCCCCATCTGGGTTTGTGTTTTTATGGGGTGGTTTCTTTTGGTTTGGTTTTGGTGCTGAGAATAAATTCAAGGCATTCACACTGCACTAAATCGCCAGACCCTTTTTTTGTTTTTAGAGACAATCTAAATTGCCAAATTGACCAGGCCAGGCTGTAACCTGAGATTTCCCTCCCTCAGCCTTCCAGACATCAGGGATTACAGGTATCCATCAACATACCTGGTTAAAAAACACCATAGTTTCATAGTCAAGAGTGCTGGCATATGTCTGTAATCTCAACACTCAAGGCTGAGGCAGAAAGATTTTGAATTGAAGGCCAGCCTGGTCTACATAAACACAGATAGATAGATAGATAGATAGATAGATAGATAGATAGATAGATTGACTGATATATCTCCTGATCTATTTTTCACATTCCTTTAGAGTATTTTTAAGCTTATACTTGGACTTTTTTTTTTTTTTTTTTTTTGTACCAGGAATTGAACTCACAATCTCACACTTGCCAGGCAAGTGCTTATGCCACTGTGCTAAATCTCTGGTCTATACTTGGATTTTTAAAAAATACCTTAGACAAGAGAAAAGATCAGAAGTTAAGCCAGGCACAGTGTTGCATACCGTGTAAACCCCAGTAGTCTGGGAGGCTGAGGCAGGAGCATTAGAAGTTCAAGCCCAGCCTGAGCAACTTAAAGGTCTGTGGCTGTAACTCAGGGCAAAGACCCAGGGTTCAATGCCCAGTACCACCAAAAACAAAAAAAAATCATCAAGAATGAAGAAGCTGCAGTCTAAGAACCACTGTGAGCTCCCTTCCTTGTAAAGGCCAAACGCTGTGTTGCCTCAGCCCCATTCATGAGCCAGATTCCTCCCCAGTCTTGTGAGGGGCGGCAGCACCACTGGGCTTTGCCGAGCTGCTGCTGCTTGCACCAGAACAGCAGTGAAGGCGGATGAATTCTGCCACTGCTGAAAGCTTACAACAGGAACCCGCGGTGCTGCTCCCCTGAAGCCCAAGTGACAAAAGCTTGACTATTTACAAGGGCCAGAGAGTTACTAAACAAAGTCAGCTTTTCTTTGTCCCACACACAAAGCCATCTTATACAGCAACATAATGGTCACTTCCACTGGCAAAGAACCTACCGTAAGGATTTTCCGGATCTCTGCAGCCGAGATGAGAGATGATACACGCAATTTAGCCAGGAAAGCTAAGCATACTTACAGGAACGTACAGTCACAAAGCTCACCTCATCACCATCGTCTTCCACGAGTGGCCTAGGAATGTTTCTGCTAAGTAGGCCTAATAGAGGTATTTATATGATCTCAGTAATGTGAAAACTGACATTAGGGTGGTACACTCAAATTTACTCAGTGGGTTCTCTACCCCAACGCTTAATGCGGAGGGAAAAGAGGGTTAAAATGCTCAACGAAGAGCAGCTTGGGGGGGCTGGGGATTTAGCTCAGTGGCATAAGCGCCTGCCTTGCAAGTGTGCAGTCGTGATTTCGATTCCTGGTACCGATAAAAACGAAAAAGAAGAGCAGCTTGGAGCCGGTAGCATGCATCTCAGCTACTCAGGACGCTGGGGTGGAGGATACAGGCTGCCGATGCAATCTGGCAATACCCTGCCCCATACCCTGCCCCAAACTACAGGACTAAAAGGGCTGGAGATGTCCCTCAGGGCGCCCTGTGCTCAGTTCCCATTACCGCACAATGAACGCGCATAAATGTGGCCTGCTGTTGCCTGACACACACACGGCTGTG